TCCTCCTCCCTCTGCGCATCCCCACCCTCCTCCTCCTCCTCCTCCTGCTCCTCGTCTTCCTCCTCCTCCCCCTCATTACCATACTCATCCCCACTACCGTCATGGTCGTCGCCATCCTCATCACCACCATGGTAATATCGTGAGCACCGCCATCGCCATGTTCGGCGTCGTCATAACACCACCAGTAACATCATCGCCAGCAGATCATCGACACACTTCTCACAACCACCATTGTCATGGACACGACCGCCGCCGTCACGATCATCATATCCAACACAACATCGACCACCATTATCAACACCATCTTTGCCATCGACCTTCCAATAAAGAACAGCATCGCCGCCTTCATCATCAACATCAGCACAATAATCATCAGCACCATCATCAGCCGCATCACCATCAACATCATCAGCAGCATGATCTTCATAATATTGGTCAGCATCATCATCATCATCCTCATCACCATCATCTTCCTCATTATCACACCATGCTCCTCCCCACCCTCCTCCTCCTCCTCATCATCATCATCATCAGCATCATCATCATCAGCCTCATCGTCAGCATCAGCATCCTCAATGGCATGTTCGTGATCAGCAGCAGTAGCATCGTCATCAGCATCCTCAGCGGCATCAGCATCGTCATCAACAGCGTCATGAATAGTATAATTACCCCCATCGTTATCATCAGCACCACCACCACCGTCAGCCCACCGACACCACCAACACCAACACCACCACCACCACCACACGCATCATGATCAGCAACCGCATCATCAGCATCATCGGCATCATCAGCATCAGCATCCTCATCATCATCAGCATCATCATCATAAGCATCATCAACAGCATCATCAGCCGTATCCTCATGCTCATCAACATCAGTATCATCAGCATCATCATCAGCATCATCATCACCAGCATCAGCATCAGCAGCAGCATCATCATCGTCATCATCAGTAGTATCATCATCAGCAGCAGCATCAGCATCCTCACCAGCATCATCATCAGCATCATCATCTTGTTTGTCGCCATTTTAATCAGCATCAGCAACATCGTCGTAAGCACCACCGCCCACCAGCATGATCATCAGCATCATCAGCATCAACCCTCAATGCCATCAGCATGATCAGTAGCAGTGACATCATCATCAGCATCATCATCATCAGCAGCAGCACCATCAAAACCATCCTGGGCAGCGTCATCAGCATCGCCATTAGCATCATCAGAAGCAGCAGCATCATCAGCATCAGCAGCAGCATCATCCACATCACAATCATCAGCATCATCGCAAGCATCATCAGCAGCATCAGCATCCTCATCCCCATCATCAGCATAATCAGCATCATCACCATCATAAGCAGCATCAACATCCTCATCATCAGCAGCCGCATCAGCATCATCATCCTCATCATCAGCATCATCGTCAGCAGCATCATTATCATCAGCTTCATCATCATTATCATCATCAGCGTCATCAGCATCAGCATCAGCATCAGCATCATCATCATCAGCATCATCAGCGTCATCATCATCAGCATCATCATCACAGCATCATCATCATCAGCATCAGCATCATCATCATCACCACCATCATCATCATCATCATCATCGTCATCATCATCATCACCATCATCATCATCACCACCATCATCATCCCCCTCCCCGCGGTAGGGGGGAGCAGGGAACAAGGAGGAAGTAGAGAAGGGGAGAAGGGGCAGCTGTGGGGGGGAGGAGGAATAGCGCGGCTCAGGCAGGGGAGGAGGCGGACGAGGAAGCGCACGACGACGAGGACGACGACGAGCAGCAGCAGCAGCAGCAGCAGCAGCAGCAGCATCCGCAGGAGCGGCAGCTGCTGCTGCGGGGGCACCATCAACTGCATCATCGGCACGAACACGGGCGAGTTCGGCACGTACTCGCGCGAGAACCCGAGGATGTAGCTGAAGGCGAGGCAGACCTGCGGGGGGGGCGGCAGCGCCACTGCTACTCCGCACTGCCGCCCTCGCTCTCGCACTCCGTTCTCCTCCTCCTGCTCCTCCTCCTCATCCTCCTCCTCCTGCTTCAACTCCTCCTCCTCTAACTCCTCCTCCTCCTCCTCCTCCTCCTCCTCCTCCTCCTCCTCCTCCTCCTCCTCCTCGTCCACCTCATCTTGTTCGTTCCTCCTGCCGTCGCCGCCGCAGCCGTCGTCGTCGTCGTCGTCGCCGCCTTCGTCGCCATCGTCATGGTCTGCATCGTCATCCTCGTCGACGTCCTCGCCGACATCCTCGTCGACGCTGTCTTCGTCGTCGTCCTCGTCGACATCCTCGCCCTCACCCCCGTCGCCACCGCTGTGCGCCGCCACTCCCCCCTGTCGGCGGCGTGCCGAGGCCCCCCGCCGCGGCCTGCTCCATGAGCTCCTCGCGGCGGTGAGGGCGAGCGAAAGCGGCTTCCGCAGCAGCGCCGCGCCGACTGGCCCCTGCTGCGACCGCAGCGAGACGAGATCTTTCGGCGGCACCTCGTGGGAGCCTCCCATACCATCTCGTCCGCTCTTGCGAATCGACGCCAGTGGACAATACATCGACGCTGATCGCCGCCAAATCGACGCTCATCGACGCTAGCCGACGCCAAATCGGGCTCCATCTCATCGACGCCCAGGCGCTGATCGACGCTAATCGGCGCTAGAGACGGATTACGAGGGTATGCACGGCTGCCATGCTTTGCTACCGAAATGTCCCCAACCTACACGTGAGCAGGGACCGACAGTCCTGGCGCTCGTAGAGGCCTGCCAAGAAATATGCTCTGCAGAGTAGCAGGCCGCTCTACGAAAAAGAACAGCGCCAAGCAGAACATGACACCGATGTAGTTTAAGAATGCGTCGTACAGAACACGGATTCCGTACGAAAGGGTTCTTAGAACAGCCCTTGGTGGGCCTATGAGCACGCCAGGATGCCCCGCCACTCTTGGTCCAAAGGCGAACTGCAGAGACAGCATCGAAGCGAGCACAATACGAGTGGGGGCAATCGTTTTCTTCTGTCAAGCGGAGCGCTGGTTCAAACGAAAGGCACTGTCGGGGGCGCACAAGCATGGATTAGCGATCCGTGGATTTGGCGCGCGGTCGCCACCGCCATGGAGCGGGGGAGGTGCCCTCCCCAAAATGCGGCCGGTGCCGCCTCGTTCGGCGGCGGAGATCCTCGATTTCTCACGGAAACGGGACCCTTCGCTAATCCACGCCCCCTCAATCCATGTTTGCGATCGCCTGACACTGGGAGCACGCGCGGCGGCAGCGAGACGAGCTCTTCCGACCTCCTCGATCCCCCTCCTTCCTCCCCGAGGACCGGATTTGGTTGACGTGTTTGGGACACGCGGACCTCCGCTGACCTAGCCATCCTTCCTCCCTCCGCCCTTCGTTCCGCCCCCCTCTTTCCTCCGGGTCATTCAGGGACCTCCAGGGACCTCCAGATGCCTCGTTCGTCTTCCTCCTCCCTCAGTCTCCGCGGGCTGTTTTTCTTAAGGGCACCACCTGTTCGTATTCACTCTTGCCAGAAATAACCCGCCAGCCCTTTAGGAGGCAATTGGTTTAGGGCGTTTCCTTTTCCAACCCCCTTCTTTCCCTTCGGGGAGGGGTTACCCTCCCCCTCCCCCCTGCCCCCCTGGACCTGGACAGGGGGCTCCGCGGGTAATTAGAACGACCAAGATAGCTCCAAGAAGGGCCTCAGAAAGCCAAAAATTACCTCCAAGATGGATCAAGCTAGGCCAACACGGAAAAAAACATGGCTTCCGACAGACTCCGAGATGTCCCATGACGACCCCAGGACGGGTCCAGGTGGCTTTGGAGCTTCCCCAGAGCCCCCCCAAGAGACCCAAATCCTCCAAACATCGTCGGGGAACCAGTGTGCTTTGCCTTCTCTTCAGATGGCATTCCGAAACCTCCAGATGGCTTCAGGTCGGGCGTGTCCCCCTACAGGCGTAATTTGGACGGAAAAGTAAACGGAGTCCAACAATGCCCAAAACTAGCCAAACGAATACTACAAAAATCGTCTCCACACTATGTTTTACTATTTCTGATTATTCCTCCTGTAGAGGAACAGGCCCGACTTAAAGATAGATGGCTCCAAGATGGCCCAAGAGGGCCTCAAGAGGGGTCGACGAGGGCCCCACGACAGCTCCAAGAGCGCCCAAGAGCTCTGCAAGAGTGCCCCAAGAGGGCACCAAGAGGCGGCATTGGGGAAGGGACGCTAATTGGGGCGCCCCCTTCTTTGATCGAACTCCTCCAAGATGGTTCAAAGACGGCCTCAAGGCCCCTAGCAGGACTCCAAGAAGACCCCCAAAGGCGCCCGAGAGGTCCCACAGAGGCCTCCAAGGCGCCCCCAGAGGCCCCCATGACGCCCTAAGAGGCCACAAAGAGGCCTCCAGGAGACATCCCAAGCGACTCCAAGGGGCATCCAAGAGGACTCTATTTCACTGAGGCTCCCCGAGGTGTCCAAATGATGCCACGCTCTCCTGGTAAGGGCTGCTCCCCCAAGCGTCGTTCCTGGATGGGCAGGTAATTTGATTAGGTCGCAAACGCAAGCGAAGGCGCAGGCGGCGTCAAGGGTCGACCCAGGCTATGGGCGGAACCTAAGGCTGGTGCGAGTACGCGAAACGCAAAGAATTGCATGAAGAATTGGTATGTGTGCGATGTGTTCTCGGGTATTCCGGCAACATTGTGCAACGAGCTGGTCGTGGATAACGCGGCGTTCTTTCAAACTTGATTGCTAATCCTGCACTCGTGGTGTTTTTTTCACGTGCAGAGAGATAGAGGCACCTGACACATGGTGATGGTCTGTCCCAACGTAAGCGCGGTTGCACAATTCGAGATTCTGCTTACGGAGTGGCGATTGTGTGTGTCGCGTCGAGCGAGGAAACAAATCCCACGCAGCAGGTCTCGACGCGGAAGGAATTCTCGACGTGGAAGGAAGTCTCACGAGGAAGTCTCGACGTGGAAGGAAGTCTCGACGTCGAAGGTCGCACGCGGAATGAAGTGTC